TATTCAGATCAAAAGCAATTATGGCTTCTCAGCCTTCCTGAAGATGTGGTCTCGTGGTTATCGCGGAAAGCTAATATTTCTCAATGGCATCAGAGAAGATGCGGTCGGGAAACTCGTGAAGGAGGCTGAACACAAGGGAATCGTCTATGAACTTCCGACAACACTAGGCTGCTTCGACAGCCACAATTTCACAAAAAGAAGCGATATTGTGAATGCTCAAATGGCCCGAGAAAGAGCTCGGGAGGCTCAGTACTCCCTGATCAAACCTGCCGAAACGAGCTATAAGGATTCCGTTGTTGATGATCATTCATCTTCCTACTCATTTAGAGATCATTGGATATACAATGACCATTGACAGGTTTGTCTTCAATTATTTAATTATGCAAGTTGTTCCTATTTTTTCTTGAAGGCTACTTAAATTTAGTTTAGTCACCAACCGCATAGTACATGGTTTGGCCCAAACAATGATATCAAAATTTGTTTTCTTCATCATCTCATGTTATCAAACTTGCTAAATGTTATCAGTGAGATGCTTCAAAAGGAAAAGGCATTCTTCCTATTTATTGGTTTGGATCATCAACAACTCCATCAATAACACTTCTTCTTTTTTTTCAATAATTATAGTCTCGAGTGCCATTAACCATATGTTTTCTTTCCAAGTGTATTGACTCACAATCATGTGTTCTTTTGTCCTGTTTTACTATTGCAGCTGCTACTTGAGAGAACAAAGTGTGCGAAAAGGAGTCAAATTGGCATGCAGCTAATTCTTACACATTGTTGTTTTGTATGTTTGTTAATTCTTCACTGTGTTGCAAGAAGATTGAGAAAATTCTAGTTGTGTCTGAAGCTTGAAGAGCATTGTTAGTTGCGATATTTTTTAAAATCTATCATACTATTAGTAACTCTAGTAGTACATACAATTGGTTATATGATGGTAAAATGAGTATATTTGATGCTTCTTTGATCACTTTTTATATTCTTTCTTCTTTGTTAGAGGTTGTCTTATACCTGCTCGTCTTTGTTTGCTTTAATATTATCAAGTCTAGTAGTGATACGGAAGAATGACTTGGGGCTTATTAGCTATAATCTTTTGAATGTTTCTGGCCCTTTGCCTTGGCCACTTCCATGCACCTTGATGGATTATGTCTCTCAAACTTTTAGCTTTAATGAACTCCCCAAATTAAATACTACTTTCATCAACACGTAGGATGCCAATTATCACTCCATACCAAAGTGGACTGACCATTTCCAATAATATATCTGATAAATTGCTACCTCAAATCTCCAAATTTGAAGATTTTCCTCAATGTCCATGAAGAGTAGGTTGGTATAGGCATCCTCCACAAACAGTTAATCTTTAAGGGCCTTTTATACCCTGACCCCCTTCACATTTTGGAGCACATACAGCCTTCTATTGAATTTTTGCTCCTAACTGTCTAAGATCGGAACTAATCCACAAGAAGGCTCTAAGAGTGAGTTCATCACCTTCTGAGGAAGAATGAAATGAAAGCTCTAAAGTTCATCCTCTTGATATCAATGTGTCAGGTTTTGATTCCTATTCTTTTGTATGTACATCAAAACGATTTGAGCTCTTCCATTTGTAGCCCTGGCAATATAAATTTGAGGCCTTCATTGGACTATGTGATCAATTTCATCGAACAATCTACTTATATTGTAGATGTTATGATTTCCTCATTAGGAGAATGTGCACTACCTCTTCCATATCTGCCTAGTTTATGTCATGTCAAGTGGAATTGAGAATGAAAAACAAAAGTTTATTTGCAGCATCTGTTCTCAAATTTGGGAATACAAAAACTTATCCGAACTACTTTCTATTTTGAATGATTTCTGAATCTTATCATGACATTTTTTTGCCAACTTTTTATTATTAGTTTTGTTTTTTATTTTTAGCATTCAGAATAAGTTCATCCGTCCATTAAATTTTGATAAAGGGAAGCATTCCCAAATGTGTGCATGCCTTTACATATCTGGTCTCATCATTTCAACTGCACGCAACAATTAACCAATAGCTTTTCTTCCATTTATTTTTAAATTTGTGCCAAAATTGTTGTTGACTTAATCAGTTTCTAATCTAAGTTTCATCAAAATAAAAACTGGCCTTCAAAATATGACTCTATGCATAAATGTAAGGGGCCTTCAAGAATAAAAAAATGAAACAGATTGTGCTGGACAAAATAATTGGGAAAAGCCTATTAACAATAATTAATATAGGTAATGATAAACAATAAGCACAGATAAGCAGTGTAGATATGTGCCTAGTAGTGGTATATTAAGGAGTATCAAAACGGCATTTTATAATAATTATACGTATAATGATAATATTAAATACAAATAGTAGGATGTTAGTAAGTTAGTAAGTTTGTGGGTGACATTAAGCAACTTTATGATTAGTTACGACATTTTGTGGTTCTCAAAAATTTTATGCTTTTCAATACGCCAATTTGTGATTAGGTGACATGTTTTAGTGGGTGACGTTATGTATCTTTGTGGTTAGGTTATGACAATTTTTTATTCTCAAAATTTTTATGCTTTTTGTTAAGTCAATATGTAGCTAAGTTCTGCATTTTTGTGGCTGACGTTATGTATCTTTGTAGTTAGCTATGAAGCATGGACACTCCAAAATTGGTGCCGTGGCAGTGTCTGACATGCAGACATGTATGGGACACGCCAGATGGCGTGTTCCTTTAATTTAATGATTTTTTTGTAGGGGACACAGCGGGGCTCACTTTTTTTTTTTTTTTCCTTCTTCTTCTTCTTTTTCTTTTGCCTCTCTTATTTAGTACTTTTGTGAAGAATATTGTTAGATGTTGAATGTTTTCCCCTGCTCGTCTTAATTCTTGTTGTCGTTTATTATGACTTTTTTGTGAATGGATGATCTATTAATTTGTTTAAATGTAGTGGTTATATTTATTGAATTAATGTTACTATGTTAGTGTTTGTTAATTTTGATTTAGGATGAATGTAATATGAATCTACATAACACATAAAAACATATAATAATAAAAAAATTCGCAGTGTCTCCCGCCGTGTCTGTATCCCCATTTTTTGAAAATTGCCATGTCTCGTGTCTGTGTCTATATCCGTATCCGTGCTTCATAGGTGGTTAGGTTACGACATTTTGTGATTGCCAAAAACTTTATAGTTTTCGTTATGTCAATTTATGGTTAAATTATGTGTTTTTGTGGGTAACATTATGTAACTTTGTGGTTACGTTACGATATTTTGTGATTGTCAAAAGTTTATAGTTTTCGTTAGGCCAATTTATGGTTATGTAATTTTGTGGTTAGGTTACAACACTTTGTGGTTCTCAAAATTTTTATGCTTTTCTTTATGCCAATTTGTGATTAGATTACACGTTTTTATGGCTGATGTTACATAAGTTCGTAGTTAGGTTACGACATTTTGTGGTTACCAAAAGTCTTATAGATTTCGTTACACAAATTTGTGGTTAGATTATTCATTTTTGTGAATGATGTTGCGTTACTTTGTAGATAGATTATGACATTTTTGTAGTTCTCAAAATTTTTATGCTTTTCGCTACACCAATTTGTAGTTAAGTTACACACTTTTGTGGGCAACGTTATATATATAACATTGCGGTTACGTTACAACATTTTATAATTTTTATAATTTTTGTTATGTAATTTATGGTTAAATTACGTATTTTTGTGACAACGATATGAATTTTTGTGGAGAGGTTACTCATTTTAGTTGTAGGTTATACTTTTTTTTCTTTCGAGCTTATACATTTTAGTGAGTTGTGTTATGAATATTTGTGGATATATAATATAATTTATTATTTTTATATATTTACCTGTTACTTAACCTGTTTTACAGGTCATCAATGCATAATAAAAACCACAAAAATAGTAGTAACTTTAACAACAAATCCCTCAATATAATTTTTAGTGGTAAAACGACAAGTAAACTGTTTTTAATATATAGGTGTCATCATAAAAGGTTTCTGTTGCAACATGGACACAAAATCAACATTTAAACTACCTCTTAGATCTACATTGATTTATATTGATTTTGAGTGAGAAAAAGAGGTAAAGAGATTATGTAGATGTCCCATGGAAACCTTATCCCTCACCATCGTCATTGTTAATGTGGTCCTTTATTTTTCGACATTGTCTCTGTTAATTTTCTTGTGGCAATCTTTGGATATCACACAAAGACATATAGGGTGTGTTTGGTTTGATTTTGAGAAATAAATTTTCGAAAAAAAATATGAAGTAAGAGTTTAGAAATTTTTTTGGTTTGTTTGGTTGTATATTTTGGAAATAGTTTTGAAGTAAGGAAGTTTGGGATAATTTAATATTTTGTTATAATTGAGTAAATGTGTATAAGAGAAAAAGTGATTGAGAAGGAAAGAGATGAGAGAAAAAGTGACTGATTGATGTATAGGAGAAAATGATTTTGAAAATTTTTTGAAAAAAATTTCCAACCAAACAAAATTTTGAAATTTTTTTTTCAAAAATTGTATTTCAAAAGTTAAACCAAATAAGGCCATAGTCTCCGTAATTCTTACAACAGATAAAGGGAGTGTGTGTGTCCTATTTTACTTTCGCAAAAAGATTTTTTCAAATTCCGTTTCGCAGTAAAATAAGAGTCAAATTTTATTATATATAGAATTTTTTATTTTTTATCTAAGCAATGGAATTGAATTTTTTTTTTTTAAATGTTTTTATATTTATGAGCATTTAGAATCAATTTCATGATTTTTTTGCGCAAGTTGAATTCTTTTATAGTAATTTTGAGTCTTGGTTATTTGCTTTTTATATTTAAAATCATAATAAATTTGATATGTAAAATGAGAAGCGCTGTGGTCATTGCAGTGGTTAGAGATGTTGATAACAAAATTTCACTGTCCAAGCAAACATTTACACAATGAAATTTTAAATTTTATTATATTCTTTTATTGCATAATCCATATTGACCCAACTAAACCCACCCATTTGCCAACTGCATACATGATAAATGTTAGAAACACTGGATGATGCCCCAAGCTTCATTAAAAATGGAGCACGATAAGGTATTTCCTAGACGAGCAGTGATCAATTGCTTGTACTACTAGCAATATTTTTGCTAAATTTACCGCCAAATTTCTTGCCACAAGGGGGAAAATAAAAATAAAAATCAAATAATCCCCCAGCCAACTAATAATAATAACACCACACCTTATTGTACATAACCTTCATCTCAAATTCAAAGTTCAGATTGAACACCGATTTCAATAATATTCATAATAACTACAAAAATGCTAGAGGCTCTAAAAATTCTACCAAAAATTTTACCAAATGTCTCAATGTGGGACCCACATAGGATCCACATTATGTGGGTCCCACACCCATGTGAGACATTTGGTAAAACTCTTAATAGAATATTTGGGGTCTCTAGCATTACTCTAATAACTAATATTAGTTTTCTCACCACTAGGAGATTGTGCCCCAAAAAATAAAATAAAAACTTATATCCTTGAAGACCCAGTGTACAAGTAGATACGAGCGAAGAAGTTCATAAATCGTTATCTCAACACCAATTGTGTCCCAAAAGGTAATCTTGTTTCCAAGTGCTGCCTGGCATGAGTTCTAGCCAGCTGTTGCTTGTCAGGATCTTCAGGTGCCCATTTATTTGGATGGCTGGGATCAATGATTATCTCCCGAAGTGACACAGTACTGCCGAGTATGTATGAGGCAATCTGCAGATCAGCTTTGCATCCAATAAATCCATTCAATTCAAGCACCTTCAGGCTTTTATGTAGATGTTTTGGCCTTCGTATCTTCGTTTCTTTTGTGGAGTCCTTGAAGTCCCAAAACTGCAAAAGAGAAAATATAATCCAAATAAAGTTCCAGACAACATATGCTCCAGTCAAGCATGGGTCTGCACACACCCAAATGTATATTAGCAATTCCTAAGGGTTTTAGGAATCAAATTTTTTTCGCTCCAAAAATAAAAATTTTGTAGCAAAAAACACTAAGAGACCAATTTCAGCTGTTATGTGGATCATCATGAAAACACCATTCCAAAAAGTCCAAAAAAAAAAATTAAAAAAAAAAAATTAGCAACAAAAATTTAAAAATCTCACTAATAAATGCACTTTTAAGGACAATATTTTTGTGCAAAGATTAGACCAAAATTGTCCCAAAAAGATAGTAATTCATTATTCAATGTCCAATTTCGTCGCTAAAAATATAACGACACTTTTAACAACTAAGATATTTCGTCCTAAATTGTGATTTCATCCCAAAATTAATCCAAATAAAGTTCCAGACAACATATGCTCGAGTCAAGCATGGGTCTGCACACACCCAAATGTATATTAGCAATTCCTAAGGGTTTTAGGAATCAAATTTTTTGTCTCCAAAAATAAAAATGAAATAAATCTAACAAAAAAACCATTAAAAAAAGTCAATCATACACATAATGCAAAAAATGACATACCCAGAACACAGTTTGGCCATTCCCATTCTGCTATTAATCATCTAACAAGAAGTTATGTAATATTTTAAATAAATTACACTGACCTCCCATGAGATTTAGAGAAAATACAATAAGCTCCATAATTTTGTTAATCTACTATATTGCCCTTTTCATTAATTGAGAAATTACTTAATCACCATCCCTCAATCTTGTATTGTTAACTACAAACATACATAGAAGAAAGAGATAAAAATCAGAGCAGCCTATGACCTCCATACTACCACCACCACCCCAACTCCTACTGTCACCACTAGCAGTTTCTGCTCCTTTCTCATCTACTTCACTCCAACACCACAAATCCATTTTTCTTCCCCAAATTTCGCTCACAACCACCACCACCACCACTGCACACCCCACCACTCTTGACCCCCTCCAATGCTACAACCATTGCACCAACATGGCCAGCTACCACCCTCTACAATCCTTCATCATTCAACCTCCAAGAATAAAACAACAAGTTGATTCAAACTAATGAAATTCAAATTCAATACAAGAACTTGACAGAAGTTTATGAAACAAAAATTTGTGGCACAAAGCGCACCACCATCGTCACAGAACTGTTGTAGAGGGTGATTACACAGAGCCAAGCCATTGAACTAAACGCACAAAGTCGAGGCCCTCTTCCGCTGAGTCATCGCACAAGGCAGAGAACACAAGTACACCGAGTTATCTCCTCTCTCTCTCTTCTCTATATTCCCCTCTCACAAAAGCCCTAGAGCACTGAGCATCTCCATCGTCCTCACACGGAAACCCCCTCTTTCCCAAATTGGTTTGTGCAAAACCCCATAATAGGGATGATAGAGAAGGTTGAGTAATGTTTATTGATTACGTCTAGTGATGCCCCATGGTGGAGTGAGCAGTGATGGACAGTGGAGGAAGACAAAGGGGTGAAAGAAGGGGGAGGCAAAGGGCAAAGAGAGAGTGCAGATGGTGGGAGGTGGGGCAAGAGAGGCGATGAACACCGACAGTTATTAGAGATGAGAGAGATAAGCAAGAGAAAGGTTAATGATAGATTAGGATAATCTACTGTATATATACACATCTATATATAATTGTGTGTGGTTAATAAATAAACTATTAAATAAATAAATAAGTAAAATATTTAATTTTATTTTGTTTTAAAGGAGAAAATTTGACACTTAATAAACATTTTTTGCATGACATCAGCTAAATTGTTAGTTCTTTGACTCTTCCTTAATGGAATGGGTTAAAATTGTTACATGAATTTAATATTAGGAGAGGTCATTGTAATTATGTTTAAATTATAGAACTTATGGTAATTTTATCAAACCTCGAGAGAGGTCACTGCAATTTACCCAAAAGTTTTAGGAAAGAAAGATAAGGTTGTTCTCTTTCTTTTTAAAGTTTCTGCCTTAACTCTCTTTCTCTACTTTTTTTGGTTTTCCTTTCTACATCTCCATATGAACATCTGATAGCATCTGCAATTTTTCTTTTTCTTTTTCTAAAGAAAAAAAAAATTTGTCTATTACATATTGCAATAAGCACAATAAAAATGTATTTGTTGGGTAAATTTGGACCCACCTAACGTATTAGTCTCTTCCTCTCTCATTTGCCATTAACACCATTAATAAATGAGGGCCAACGACTAGGGACGAAGTTAGGAGTACAAAAGTAGCAACAGCACAGTGCCGCTGCAAAGGGTATTCACCATTTGCAGGGGCCAGATCTAGAGACTCTGCATTTGTGGGGCCATGGAATTTTTGGAGGCCAACTTCTTTATTGTAGGGGCTTCTTGCTCTAAAACAAGCAAAAGTGATAATAACACTAGAGAGGTGAATCTTGCAAATGATTAGCAACACAAAACCAAACACAAATGGAGAAGAAGACATATATATGCAGTAGAGAGAGAAAGTGAGGTAGAGAGAGAAAGTAAGAACCCAAAAATGAAAATGGTGGAAGGTAATGGTGGGATGAAAGGTAAGGCAAGCTTGAACAAAGAGAGAATGGCAGGAACACTCCCAAGGACCAAACTCAAGGCGATCTTCGAAGATGGCCTTCCATGGATCTTCTGGGTTGCATGTTTAGAGAGAGAAAGTAGAGAGAGAAAATGTGATATGGGTCTTCTCCTTTTTTCATCATCCTTATCCCTTTCTCATCATCATCCAAAAAGTGAGCTAGTAGTACCTTTTATAGGCATCTATATTTGTCCTTGGAGGTCTATCCCTCAAATGGGGAGCTGCCATGTGTCCATTGGATCTTTGTGGATCCTTGGGAATATTCCTCTCCTCATCCAGCTTGGCTAAGTCCGACAGAAACCCAATCCCCTCAGGTCATTCCCCGCGGAGAGTTACTCAGGGACTTGGTCCGCCCGAGGTAATTCCCTTGGCTACTCCTTCTTGAGCTATCTCCTGCGGATGCCAAATGGAGAGGATTTTCCAGCCATCTTAGCTTACCCTTACCTTTAGCCACTGCATCACTTGATCTCCCACCATCCCATTGAGGCTAGTAGAGCACATTGAGCGTCTACCGCAAGGTTGGACCTCCCCTAGTCCTGCCATTGCGACTTGGGGGTGAGCTGCTCTGCTGATGTTGAGCTGTCTAAGTGGGTTTGTCGTCTATGAAAATGTACCCATCTTCAAGAGTAGATCACGGGGAAGAGGCTCTCTACGGGGTAACCTCTTGGCGTCACCGGACCGCGGAGGCAAAGTAACGAACGCTCTCCATGGGTTAGCCCTTTGGCGTCACCAGGCTGGAGGCAAAGTAATGAACGCTCCCCAGGGGTTAGCCCTTTGGTGTCACCAAGCTGAGGGCATGGGTAGGAATGGCAACAAGTCGGGGCGGGACCGGGAATTGCACTCCCTGTCCCCAATCCCCGAAGGTGAAAAAATCCTCATCCCCGCCCCCGATCCCCGGCGGGGGCACCCATCTGCCCCTGCCCCCTAACGAGGATCAGGTTTCCCCGACCTTTTTTTTTTGAATTTTGAATTTTGTTCAACACAACACAAGAACAACCAAAAAATTTAGTATACTTTCAGTATTTTTCATCATCATCAACAACAATCATCAACTACTTTAAAAAAATAAAATAAAATAAAATAAATCTGAAATTGAAGAGGAGAGGGCTGAAACACAGAGGTGATGACGACGATGTTGAAGAGCATAGGGCTAAAACGCAGATCTAAAATTGAAGAGCAAAGGGCTGAAAAACAGATTTGCAAAAAAAAAAAATAAATAAAATCAGTTTTGGCTCGATCGTTGATATACCTTCATATCTCAATTCTAGCTCGATCGTTGCAGATCGACAGTGATAGGAGGAGGGAGAGGACAGCGGAGGGAGAGTCGGCAATGATGGAAGGGTTTTAGAGAGAGAGAGAGAGAGAGAGAGAGAGAGAAACCGAGAAAGAGAAGATGAGAAGCGATCGTCTCTATTGAGAGGACAGCGAAGGAAGGGAGTTGGCGGCGGTGATGAGAGAGAGAGAGAGAGAGAGAGAGAGAAGATGAAGCGGTCGTCTCTATGTGTGTGTGAGTGATTGTATAAAATATATATATAGGGTAAAATGGTAATTTTACTTTGGGGGCAAACCGGAGCCTAGACGAGGACGGGGTTAGGCCAGGAACGGGGCTTGGACACTTATCCCCGTCCCAGGCCCGAAACTAATCGGGGATTGATTTTTAAATACCATCTTTGTCCCGTCGGGGGTATTTTTCAGGGGAAAAAAAAACCGCTCAAATTGAGGTCGGGTGGTCGGGTCCCAGTCGGGCTAGGTTCAAATTGCCATCCCTAGGCATGGAATGTCCCATCTTCGAGAGAGTCGTCACTGTCTCGGGGCAAAGCTCTCTGGGGGTTAGCAGTGTTGTTAGAGGCGCTCGCTTAGCGAGAAGAGTGGCGAGGCTATTGCACTTCATAGGATTCGAAGCGAGGCAATATGGAGAGGCGAGGTTGAGGCGAGTGAAGCGCAAGGCGAAACAAAGCGTTGCTTCTTGCTTCTAAGATCTGGGCTCTTCATTTTTCTAGATTTTGTATTATTTGTGGACATGCATTGCACCTTAGAATTGCTTTCTACTATTTATTGAGTGTAAAACCCTAGTTTCTGGGGGTATCGAAAGGAGAGAGACGAAAAGCAGAGAAAGGAGAGGAGAGAAACGAACCTGGTCCTGCTTCATCTTCAACATCGTTTCCAAGGTAAGTCTTCTTCTCCTACTTTCTTCTCTCTTCCTACTTCGTCTTCTCCATCCTCTTCTTTTCGTCTTTCCTACTTCGTCTTTTTTTTTTTTCTCTCTTGTTCTTCTCTCTTCTTCTTTCCTTTATTTCATCTCTCAGCAGATTTTTTTCCCCTTCGTTTTTTTTATTCACTTTTTGTCTCTATGGTTATG